TTTACATAATTTCTGAGTAAGCTATTCGTACGCATTGAAATATTTCTTGCATTTAAACTTGTGTTCCAAATTAAGATTTAACTTGAAATGAATGTAGATAATTAGTGAGAGCATTAGATTTTTGTAGAGTAGTTTACGTGAGATGAGATCGCTTGGGGTCACGTGATATGAACCGGCGAATTAGGATGTTGAACCATGAAAGCATAGTAAATTGTTAAATTAATGTCTTCTTACAAATTTATTGTCTTTATTTATTGGCTTTTTATAAAGTTTTAAGCGATATTAAAATGTTTAAGCCTTCAAAAAAAGAATTCTTAGAACTAAAATTTTTTTAATATTTTTTATATGTATACTGTATGTTGACGCCAATAAAGTCTGCTTGGCGAGATTTGCGCCGGCGAAACGGAAAAGTACCAAAAATATTTTTCTAATCTTTAAAAAAAAAAAAAAAAAAAAAAAGAAAAGAAAACATGCGCTTAAAAATGTAGAAAAAATTAAAATCCTACAGTGGAAAATCTTTGAAAGTTCAAAATAATTTTAACACAAAACTTTACTAGAACCTCTTATCAAACAGCAGTAGCAAAGGAAAATGGAGGGGGGAGGGAAGTAAAATCATTAAAAATATCTTCCAATTTAAAAAGTACTAGTCTAAACAGGATTTTATCAAGTTATTTTGAATTTCAATTTTTATTCTTTCTGAAAAACTGGTTCTAAATTTCTTTCTTTATATATTTACTGATCAATTTTTAGCAGCATAATGCACAAAAATTTTTGGAAGGATTATAAATTTTCCTTTTAAAAAATTATTTGTATATACATAGTCCAAACACATCTGTATACAGTGGAATACATTTAACACGAAATAATGCAACAGTCCCGACAAACTACAGTCAAAAGTCGTTAATCTGGACTCGTCGGGACTTCGGCGATTTCGGATTATAGATCAACAGTTTAAATCTCGTAACATGGCATGCAGAAATTCTAAAATCAAAAATATGAAACCGTAATTTATGAAATAAAGAACAATTATGATCTAAAGGGTATCAAAATTTACAAAAAAAAAAGCTTAATATTTATTTGTTTACTTTATTAAACATTTTTTTCAGTGTAAGTTGCTTCGTTTTATGTGATAATAATTTCTCTTTAATTCTATAAACAGACATAATTTCTTGTTCAGTTACAAAGTTCCAAGTCCTATAATTGCTGTGCCGAGAATACCGACTAATTTGTCAATCGAAATTTTTTTCGTTTTCACTAACCTCTCTGTCACCTTCTTCATGTCTTTATCCATTTTTTGCAGCAATTTCACTTTTTGTTTGATGGACATTGAAACATACTTTCGTTTTGTACGATCCTTTGGGAGCTCCAGAATCGGAAATTCTATTTGACATAATCGAAAGTTCAAGTTTACTTTTATAAAATTGCTCTTACAGTCTGCAAAAAATAATAAGCCGGATCCAATTCGAAGATTAAGGAACAACGCAATCATCACCATTAACTGAAATAGATAATTAGATAGTTTTAGCTTATACCGTCCGTTATATGTAAAATGTGCACGCGAAAACGTATTCTGCGCTTGCGCAGTCGTAAAAGGTCTTACGCGCATGCGTAAACGTCTATGCGCATGTGTCAACGCGGCGCATGCGCAGAATGTTTTTACCTTTGAGGTTCGGATTATAGATCATTCCGAATTATGGGTGTCCGAATTAACGACTTTTGACTGTACTATGTAATTTCATACATTTTGTTTCTCTTAACACGAAAAGATATCCTTTTCTGGAAATGAACAAAATACAGAAAACACTGGCATTGCTGGCGAGATTTAAGCGAGGTGTGAAATGAAAGAGGCTAATTTGACTTTGAAATACCCTCGGAATAGCCTGTGACATGAGCCAGTTTTGTTTATCTATGGACTTTCGCCTTCCACGTCTACGAACGCCACACAAACATCTCACCTCTCATCAGTTAGCTTTGGAATTCAGTGATGAGTACATGGCAGTGTGAGTAAAAATTAGTGAGTTTGGCTCATATGTTGCACTGCATAGAATTCAGTGACTCCAAGGTTGAATGAAAATTATTTTCATTACACACAATTCTCAAAAGTATCAGATTCTTTGGCTCCAAAAGAAATGGAGAAGTAGGATATTGAAACTGAGCTGACACTTAATGAAATGTTTGAGAAAGTTTCTGTATTAATGAACTGTCCTACTGTACTATCGGAAGAATTCGTTGCAGTAGTTTATGATAATGTGTGTACAGCCCCAATTATGGCAGACAAAGTTATTTTGGAGTTTGTTCAAAGCTAAAAAGATATCATTGATGCAGATTCCGACAATGAAAATGAAAAATGAATGCAGTTCCTGTTCCCATGTCATCCGAAATGAGGAATATCATAAAAAGTATGGACAGTTATTTAGACGCACATTCCAATGGTGAAATGAATAACAAAATGTTCGACATTGAACAATTTGATGCTAAAAAAGACAATGGAAAGAAAAATATCAGATTATTTTCCCAAAACTCAATAAATGTTTTTTTTTTTTTTTTTTTTAAAAAACTTTGAAAATTTTGTATTAAATTCCATGAAGTTCTTGTGGATGTTTTTGTTTCATTGGTTTATTAAATACATGCATATATACATATATATGTAAATAAAATATACTCTAATAATAAGCTTAATTTTGTTGAATATATGTGTTTTTTTTAATATTCTTTAACACGAAAAAATATTTCAGTCCCCTCAGTTTTGTGTTAAATGATTTTCACTGTATATCTGTTGCACATAAATCCTTTTCTTACATAAAATATAAATGTATGTATAGAATAACTAAAATTGTAAAGGAAGTTTAATTAGCAACTATGAAATCTTAAAAAAGTACATAGTATGAAATTTATAATGGCAAACATTAAAAATAGATGAAAGTAAATAAAATTTAAATTATAGAATGTACTTTATAAAATTAATAATAAGTGGTTAAAATATATTTTTTAATTACTTAAAACATGGAAGTTATTTGGCAGAGATTGTTGGATATAAAATTACTACTTCAAATTTTCAGATTACTATTGTTCATATTTAAAGTCTCAACTTGCAGTCTTAATCCACATAACAACCATTGTAAAAATCACCCTATTATCATATTCCAAAGATCAGCAGCATATATTTTTTTCAAAATCGTGCATAATATTAAATATTGGCTTTTGATAGTCAAGTTGATACAAATAAGATGAACTGTTTTTATGATTTTAGACTAGTAGTTTATTCTTCCATTCACTTATTACAATATTTCATTTTTTATATGCTCGGCTATCCAAAATTTCAAGAGCTTTCCGGATATTTTTTTTTTTTTTTTTTGTTGAGTTTTTACTATACATACATTTCAGCATTTACATCGTCAAAATTGCACAGACACATACTTGAAGTGAATTTACTTTTACAGCTAAACACAGGAACTGGAAAACAAAAAGTACTTATTCGGAGATTGTATTTCTTTTTCGTTCATGAAAATCAAAGTTCATTACACAAACATGCATTCACACTGCACAAGCATGTATGGAAATTCTTAATACATTTAGTAAATAAATCAGAAAATATTTTAATGTATAACAAATGAATAGTAAGTAACTAAGCTTTTAGTTAGTAGTTAGCTTTTAGAACTAGTTAAACTTTTATAAAACAGAGCATAATAACACAGTTACAAAGATATTTAATGTTATAAAGTTAGGTAATTTAGTAAATTTCAGTTGTTCATCAAAGCAATGAATTATGAAGTTCCTTGTGTATCTTTATAAATGAACTTTATTGCTGTTTTAAGCAATTAAACAACTGTTCAAGTTATTTTAATAATTTTGAAATATATACACTAAAAGAAACAATAAAATGTATTAATCTATTTGTCAAACTTGATTTTGGCACGAAAGTCTGCAGAATGCTTCGTAGTTTTTAAGCACATAGAGGCACTGCAATTCTTATTCCTTGATCTGAAGTTTTCTGCAATTTTTTTTTTAATTTAAATTGTTTTATTGGCACACATACAATTTTTGTATAGTGGCTTCAGATGTGGATAAGTTTTTCAAACACTTTCGTTTATTTTACTACGGGCGTCGCTGAATTTTGCGATGAAATGCAGCACATTTATTGCCGAGTATCACCTTCCAGACTTTTCATACTGTTAATGTATACATCAGCAGTGAATTATTCTCCTCTTTCCTCAAATACACTACGGCGTTAAACAATAACCATTCACTAAAGATTTTGCGTAAATTTCCACTCATAATAATTTAAATTGCGAAAATCTCACAATTAGCACCTAAACACACTATTCAGCAGCAAAATTCTTTCGAAAGCGCGCCGTAGTAGTCAAAAGTGGGGTAGGCGTCTTGCCAAGTGATACTAGTCGATATTTCCGTGACGTCAAAAATTTGAAAAGTGGGGTAGGGTTTGGAAATACGCGACGGAAAAATTTCCGACGCGTCGATCTCTGTAATGATCGAGACGATGACACCAGACTCGCTCTCTGTCGAGTAGATCGCAAAAAAGCGACCCGTTCTTCTATCTCGACGGTGTCCAGATTAGGGCCCCTAATGATGCTGCTTTTGTATCTATATCATAGAACATAAATTAATGGTACATTTAATCAGAATAATTCAGATTGTGAATTACTATGATTCCCAATCTGAATTACTCTGATTATGCTATTGTTGAATGAGTAATTCATTAAGTAAAACTATTACTAAAATGCAGCTTGAAGTAGGTCATAAGAAAGCCACATTAAACTTCAGAATTGTGCAAAACAGCACTTTAGAAAAAGGCCTAATTATACGAAATAATAGCTTTTATTCTGCAAAATGCTCCAGAAATTCTCCAGAAACAGTAAATGTATACAGAAACTTTAATAATAATAATAATAATTTTAATAAACATTTACCATTAACTTCACCTTAACTTTTTAAAACTGTAATGGCCACAGGCTAGTCGACAGCCTTTAATGATTAGCGATGGTTTCAGTGGCAGTGGTTTTGCAACTTGACACAAGCTGAACCGGAAATACAGAGTAATGAATCAGATAAGTTATTGGTGGGATGTTTTGATGGTAATATAAAGTAAAAAAAATGGTACAAATATTTTTACTTGATGTAAGCTAAGATTTTTCTCCCTTAAACAATTTTTTTAATAGTTCATCATTCAATATGCTAAATTGTTGTATCTCGTTTATTTTTAAGAACTGATAATAACTTCGTAGGAGCCCAAACAAGAGCATTGCTAAGCTATGGATCTAGAAGTAGCCTGCAAGATGGGATTTCTCTTTATTCCTCCTCACAGTTTTTTAAGGGTGAGTATAGTTTTTTTCTTGCGTTCCTATAGTAATCATATTGCTGTATATTCTGATCTAAATACGAATGAGAAAATATTGGAAAATGCTATGTGAATACGATGACAGGATGTTTAAAGTTGTGTTTGATTCATCTTGCATGTTTTATAAAAATATGCGTATGCTTGATTTTAAACTGCAGGTACCCAGTCTTTCAATGAAAATTGCATTAAACTAGTGTTCCCTCCTTTTCTGCAGACGTCTCTCTCAAAATGATGTACATTGGTGCAATGAAGGCAAACTCTAACTTGACAGAGGGTGTTTGTGTGTGCAGAAAATCAGAACACTGTTTTTCCTGTTCTTTGACTACTAGATGCTTATCATCTCGGTGATGTGTTATTTATGTGTGCATTAACTGTAGAATCATTACAAGTTCTAAGCATTAATGCATAACATTTGAAATGAGACTGAAAGGGAGTAATTTGGTATAATATAATAATGCAGACTTGCTAATAATTACCTCTTTGTTTCATGTTTGAACCTCAGGTAAGACACGGACTAAAATGACTAAATCTGGATTTTAGAACAGTGACTCACTTCAGTTATGTTCTGGGTTTCTCTGAGCATTTTTCAATTTTGGTTAGTTGAAATAAATTTTGCTAGTTCTCCTTCATATAATCAGAGAGATATTTTTGCAGGATCAGAGTAAAAATATATTCAGTAGTCAAATAATTACAGGATTTAGTTGATTAGGATTATTTGAGAAACTTGTGTGGTCTACGAATTCAAAAGAGTTTTTGGATTTTCATTCCAACTATATTTTGTGCTTGGTGTTGTTGACAGTGTATTTAAATGATGTGCAGCGTTATTTATTGACCTCTTAAAAAGTACTACGGAATGGTAAAATGCAAAGAAAAGATTAAGTTTTGAAAGAAACTTTCGATAACCGATGATTGCGTGATAATAAAATAATTATTTATTGAAATGTTTTATTTGAAAAGCATTATTACCTTAAAAGCATTAAGGGCTCTAGTGTAGAATTGGGTGCCCCTTCGATTAGCAAAATGTTTTTAAAAATTTTGGCGATGAAACCTCCCTTATGGTTACCATGATAGTTTTAATTTTGTTTTAGCTTGCTGATTTTATTTAAATGAAAATAGATTGATGTGTACATGGAATTTAAGGCAGTGCACAATGCCTAGTTTATGCAGTTCTAGGATGTTTTTTTAAGTGAAAACAGATCGATGTGTACATGGACACAAGGTTTGTGCAATTCTTTGACTTCTTATTTTGGTTTTGTGCAGCGCCCATCTTGAAATTGTGCCTTCCTGGCACCGATCTTGCCGTCAAAAAAGTATTGCCAAAAAACAAGGGGCACCCAATTGTAAACTTTTACCGCATTAAGCAATAGTCCAAAATATGAAACTGAAATTCAGAGAGATTTTTAATGTTTTCAGTATATTCATGATTATCCCTATTCAAGTCTGTAACATTAGTAATTGAGCTGTTAATACTGGAAGTAAATGCAGTCAAAGAGCATACATTTCAGTTGTAAATAATGTGTGAGGAAATGAAAAAAATCCTATGCGCCCTCAGGTCGCCAAATTTCTCGCCAAACATTTTTGGCAAGAAACTCCATGCCGCCATATTACTACCTAAATTTTTTATCTACATTTCAAATTTTAAGCCTAAAATGCCTCAAAACGCGGTTTTCACACATGCAAAAACCAGGTTTTGAAGACACAATTTAAGCTAAAAAAATCAGAAACAAAAACAAAAAATTTAGATAGCAAAAATGTAAAGTTTCTAACCAAAAATATTTGACAAGAATTCATGTACACAGCATTCTGTTTAAACGTTTAAAAAAAAAAAAAAATAAATCTACGAGTTGCACAATCTAGGCATTGCGCACAAATCAACCAAATAAACTAAACTAAATTACAAACAATTCAAAAAAAAAAACAACAACAGAAATTCATAGTAAAAAAACAACGAACATAACATTCTACAAAATAAAAACAATAAAATAAAATGCACTTACCATAATGAAAACTTCTTCGGATAGCAGAAATATCAATTTCAAACATCACCAAAACAAAAAACACAAACACTTTCTTCAAATACTCTACAAAGAAATTTTTAATTTCTCCCATTCAACAGTTCTTATAATTTCTACAAATTTATTAAAAGGATCTTCTCCAGTTTCATAACAGCAATGGAAAAACATATAGACAGCCAAATAAAACTGAAAATCGCATTTCCGATTATAGCTAGGCAACGTAGCTTTAACATGCCGCCACATACTCTCTATGGTATTTATATGACAGCCAGACTCGCTATCCACAAAATTGATACTATGGTTCACAAATAAATGTTCAAAACCTTCTTTTCATAAATCCTTGTAAGATTTCCAGCCATCCGAAAAAATAGTTGTTCCAGGCTCGGTCCACTCTTTAATACACCGCATCAGTGTTTCCAGTAAAAGTATAGTTTAGGGTACCCCTTAGCGAAACTTGGCGGCACATGGATACCAATTTTTTGCAATTCTTTGACTCGTTATTTTGGCTTGCGAAGCGGCGATTTTTGGCGCAAAAATTGCCGCTACACAAAGCCAAAATAACCAGACAAAATAATTGCACAAACTCGGTATCCATGTACACATCGACTTATTTTGAACTTAAAAAAAATCCCCGAATTGCACAAAAATGGCATTGTGCACTCTTTTAATTTTATCCATGTACACGTCGACCTATTTTCACTTAAAAAAAAATCCCAGTATTGCACAAACTAGGCTTTGCACATCCTTTTACTTTGTCCATGTACACATCGATACTATTTTCACTTAAAAAGTCAACAGAGAACACCCAATTCTACATAGGCAAACAAAAATCTATAATCTCAATAAAATATGTTTAAAACCAAACAATAAAATAACATAAAAAAGGAAAAACATGTTATACATTTAAGCACTACCAAAAGCAAGTATTCACTTACCATGATTTTCGAGTTCGCTTTGTACACCCAGAGCCACATAAAAATCAAAATATCAATCAAACTCAAATGACTTTTTTCAAACCAGGTACTCTTTCTGATTGAACGCTTCACATAGTGACCATCTGAACCTTTCTTCCTACAAACCCATTCAAATCCATCTAAACGGTTTTTATGTTGGACTAGATGCATATCCTTCCTACATACAGGACACTTATAATGGCTACTAAGTAAACCTTCATTTACACACCAGTCAATTAAAGCTCTTTTCCCCTTTCGTTCCAAATTGTACAGAAACTTCAAATTAATCTTACTACATTCGGCCATTTTACCGTCTAAAGAATCAAAGCAACACACACACACCACAAAAACGCTTACAAAACATCCCACGATTCAAAATTTCCCAGAATCATGCACTTGATTACGTCACAATAGGGTTTCCATAACATTCAATTACTCAGGCTACCATAAATCAAGCAACAACTTGGCGATAAATCAAACAACAACTTCGCCATAGTACAAGGGGTAAAGTCTACTCTACCCGTTTTTCCTTACTTCTATCATGCACAGCCACTAAAAATAATCTCCCAGACCCTCTTCCCACACTTCCAAATACCCACTGCCCCTCAGCAGGATGGCCACGATGATATTTCTTTTGCCAAACTTCGATTCATCAACTTCCACCACTTTATCTTCCCTTCCCCTATCTTCTCAGACACTGAGCATACAAAGTCCAACTGACATTCGTGAATAAAATTTTGCCAGTCACACAACGTCTGTGAACAAAAGTGCCATGATTTTGCTATATCACATGTCTTTCTACGATTCAAAATTTTGAAGGTAACGATCAAAACTTCCTCCAATGTTAACTTACTACACAAAAACCAAGATCCAAATCTTAAACTCTGCTGACACCCACATAATTTACCAGCAACAATTTGACTTCAAACCCACACAAGTCTATTAGAAATACCATTCTTCGTCCGAGTTCTCATATCAGCTCCGCATTTTGAACACGCCAAACTTCGTTTTAAAAGTTCTGACTCCCATAGAAATTCCAAAAATACACTACGATCCGCATAAACACACCTGTGAACAAAAGACTTGTTAACAACTCCAACATCCTACCTTTTAATACTAAATTTACTTTGCACACAATCTAAAATACGCGACTGAAATCTTGCTACCACATCTCTCATTGCAACATGGGCCATTTCAAAACATGCAAAATGAGCAATTAAATCACTCCAGCAAAAGATTTTTCAACATCAACAGGGTTGCCATACCATGTCGCGGTCCGCAATGAACTCGAAGTTGATCTGTTAGCACTATCCTTATCTTCAGGGCAGATGTTTTTATTTTATTCGGCTTTATAATGCCTTACTAAATGTAGTATTTCATCTCGATGTACTTTGTATATGATTTAAGTCAAATTCCTCGTCATTATAAATATCACGAATACACATCAAATAGTTTTCTGGTTGCAATTTTCTAATTTCGACTATGTGTAATGTATGCTTTACGCATGCGCGCATTGAAAGAAATGTTTAATAAAGTAAACAAATATTAAGTTCTTTTTGTAAATTTTGATACCCTTTAGATCATAATTGCTCTTTATTTCATAAATTATGGTTTCATATTTTTAATTTTGTAATTTCTGCATGCCATCTTACCAGATTTAAACTTATGACCTATAATCCGGAATCGCCAAAGTCCCCACGAGTCCGGATTAAAGACCTTTGTCTGTATACTGTAGAGAAATGGTCTTCAAACATCGTCTACTCATGGAACCCTTAGAACTATAAGGTTTTTGTGGGGAACTCCATCCTACCTTTAAGTTAAATCAATATGTTAAAGGTACTTTATGTACAGACAATTAAAGGCGTACTTTTTGTTTAAAAAATTTAACATGAATTAATGTAATTTACTCATTAGCACTAACTCGTGCTCCACGTGTCGCTTACCCTTCTATTATATTTAGTGGCTGGCATGTGTTTACAGTTTAAAAACTCCTAAAAGTCAGAGCAGGG